GTCTTGGGAGGCAGCGGTAAACTCTGAGAAAGTTTGATCGTAGGATGCTTTTGACGAAGGCTTTCAAGAGTTTCGACATTACGAGGAGCCAGGATGTCGTCTGAGAATAAAATACGGGATGCATTTTTTAAGTCGCCATCCATTACTTTCGACTCAACTACTTTCTTTAAATCAAATTTAGGATGTGGAACAGGTAAATGAATATTAATTGGGTAATCTAAATTTTGAAAAGATGTCTCTTTTAGTTGAGACGTTATTGATTTATTTATTAATAGAACCAGGCGTTACTTTGCGAAAGTCCATTATATAAAGTTGACAAAAAATTACTTTGCGTACATCCGCGCGATAAAATAAAATGAAGTATCTTACCTAGTTTGAAGAGCACCTCCCGCCGCCCCTCAATTGCGTGCACTATCCCCGTCACCACTAATCCCAGCACCACTACTCCCAACACCACTACACTAGGAAAGACACACCACTGACGACAATACAATACGTGTTTCGCCTCTACAAGAGGCATCCTCAGGTGATATAGAATCTATATCACCTTGATTTATTTATTGTTTTATCAAAATGAAAATGGGAATACGCGAAAGTAAATAATTTTTGCCAATTATTTTCACTATTAGTGAAACAATTTTGAATAGTGCATGACAATGCTTTAGCAAACTGCATCCTCGTACTCTCTTTGTGTCCTTAGAGGGATTGCTAATAGAGTTATGAATTTCTACGGTAGGCTGTGAAGCCGAAATATTTTTACTATGGCATCGTTTAATATGTATATTTAATCCCCTTTTACCCTTAAACAGCCTACGGTCGACACAATTTTGACACTGTAGGAAATCCGGCTGTGAATGTAGCGGATCAGAGATATTCATTAAAAAATTCTAAACAGATCTCTACAGCACTCAAAAGACTTTATATTAGATAGCTTAATATTAACCTGAAATGTGATGTACCCCGCATCTTTCCCTGAAACACAATCATTAATGGTCTAAAGAAAAGCACTTTACTCTACCTATATAAATGAAATATTATCACATTACTTCCCTGGATTTATTCCATATTGATAAAAATTGTATGTAGTTGTTATGCTTTGACTGTTGACAATGACGCAGCAGAAATATTTTTCTTTATAAATGAGTATTGTGTCTGAAATCAAAAAAAAATATTATTATAACTGTAATTATTGTAATATTTTGTAGTAATTAACGTACACATTATAACTAAATGCTAACGTCATAGTTTTTTTACTGTCATAAAAATTTACTAATTTAATAAACGAGAGTTTGAGTTTCACTTTTCAATGTGCGATTATAATTTTTAACGTAGAAAATGATGCGTGAATGACTAATCCTTGATTATTTATTAGTATCTGACAAGTAAAGTGTTAAGGCATAAATAATTATGAAGGTATAATAAATGGCTACGCTTGGACTCTGACTCTACACTATTAGGTTTTAACTAATTATTTAAATTTCTTGAAATGATTTATGTTAGTTATTAAGAAAGTTATTAGTTAGTTATACAGTTCATATATAAAAGGTCAAGCCCAATAGCACATGACTAAAGAAACCGTACCGTACAGAGGCAAAGCTTCATACAACCGCGCTGTGATAGATACACTACTACAATCTTTAGGCGCGGGTGTGCGTGAGCATAGGCGGCTCATCACGTACAGAGAGAAACTGCTTTACACCAGCACGGCCAGTGCTCAAACTTCAGGGTTGTGTAAAAAATTATAAGTGTCATATTTTGTTTTTAAAGAATAATTCGTATCAAATGAAATATAAAAAAGTGTAAATATGGTTTCTAATACCTACGTAGATTTGAACATTATCGAGGCTGCCGCAAGAGATATCACTGATTTTGTAAATAAAATTAATAATTTGTGTATTTCTTACACTCAAGTACACTGCAATCTCCTAATAAATATAAAAGAGCTTTTCGATGCGATAGTTATCAAATTGAGTTTTAGAAGAAATGCTACATTTTTCAGGAACTTAAATTCAATAAGAAGTGATATGCAGAAAGACGTTACAAATACCATGAATATCATTCACGGATTCCAAGTATTTATAAAATCTTTAATAAAACTTCATGAACAATTAAAATTAGAAGAAATTGAATTAATTTTATCGAGACATCTCAATCAAGATTGTCTTGAAAATTTCTTTGGAAAAAGCAGACACGCGGGTGGTAACCTTCAGTTTTTTTAATATTAATTTTTGGTCCGATCTATGCAGAATGACTGGGAATGGGAAAATATTATTTTTTCAGCCATTATAAGGATGTTAATAAAAATAGTGGTCAATCGGGTTTTTTATAACACTTCCTGACAAATTTATCGCGTTTGTTAAACTGCTTGAGCAAAAATTTAGCGAATATTTTGACCGCGTAAGAAACATTGCAAATAATGGTAGTGAAGTATTAAAATGCGTGCTAGAGTTTATATTTGTTATGAAATGCGAGTGATTTCCAATAGATTATTTAAAAAAAAACTTTACATTAAATTTAGAATTTACCATTTAACTAAAGCCACAACAACTTTTTGAAGAACAATAATTATAAAAGTAAAATGTATAGAATACGTAGTTTGTAAAAAAATATTGTATATTAAGAATCTATTAAACATTTTGTTTATTTAATTTTATTCTCCTGTGCTAACCCTACCAAAATAGGTACAGCTCCTTAGAAGCTTTGCCTCTGTAGAGTTCCTTTATTCATGTGCCAATAGTTTTTAAAGTTTCGATGTCAAGGACAAAGAATTCTTAAAAAAATGTTTGGTCAGTTTATCTTAATTTATAATAACTTCTAAACGTGCCATTTTAAGTTTAGAAAATATTAGAAATAATCTGCTCGGCGGCACGTATAACCTTATCAAGGTGTACGCTGTGTCCGTCGATACATTCGAATACTCGTAAATCTTGAACCATTTGTAATAGGTATTACAGAAAAGTATAGATGTAAAATGCTGACTATGCTTTGACGTTAATCTTAATTAAAACCAAAATAAGATACTTAAAAGTTTTTAAATTTCCATAGTTTTAAAAACCTCACATTGTGCAGTACATATTGGTGAATACAACTATTTCATGTAGAAATCGATAACAGAAATAACAAAAAGATTGTAAGTAAATTATAAATTGTATTATTAAAATATTTTATATATATTTTTACTTAATATATCTATACTTGCATAATGCACGCAATCGCGGGTAAAATGCGTTTTAATTCCGTTTTACCCGACTGCCCCAAAAAGAGGGTAATGTGTTTCGAGTGTATGTACAATGTACATACCTACTCGTATGTATATTTTTTTGGCATGCTTTGTAACCTATGGGGTATCGTGAAATACATCTTAGTTCTGAAAGTCATATATGGTAAAGTATTTGATTTTTTTTATTATAAATTACTATTTTAACCATTGGGCTTATTAACAATAGAGCATCCCTTGCGAACTATGCTCAGTTACAATTCGATTTTTTGCTACCAATACCACAAATATGGGTACAAACATAGGTACACTGATTCTTTGAAATCAAACATTATCTGTTTTTAATTTTTACTATTTCCTCGACAATTTTAAACTAAATAAAATCAATTTATTTAGTTTAAAACTGTCGAGGAAACTCTTTTAATTTAAACTAATTTTGACGAATTTTATAGCGTTTAATTGATTGAGATGTCTATGGGCTACAGCAACCACTTACCACCATGTGGGCTGTATGCTCGTTTGTCACCCTTATCCTATAAAAATTTGTCATTTTTTTCAATAAAATATGTGTCATTCCATAGAAGTATCTTGTCATTCATATTAAGTTTCGCGTAAATATAATAAATAATAAAAACTGTTACGAAAAAACAAATTTTGACTACATTTTTAACAAATGACACCTGCCATGTAATGGATGGGAAACTATTTCTGACTTAATAATAATTTGTCTTGATAATAATAATTATATAATCTTTAAGTGACGGCTCTTATCTTCAAGTAGTACCTTCGATAAATCTAATTTGACGAATGCCATGACAAGGGTTAAGGTAAAAGAACAAATTAATTTATTCATTTGGCTTTTAGTGATGCAAAATTTAAAAATATTTACCTTTAGATAAAATGTAATTTTGTTATGGAACTATTTGTTGCGCCATTGCAATATAACTAATTACCGTCGCCTTTTGAACTTAACGCAATTTATATATTTTACGTTATGATATTCTTTTATTTTTTTAATACTTTAAAAATCGTAGGCTCCAAAGACGAGCCGTTATTTTTTCCCAGTTAGGTTATTCAGTATACAACGACCGAAAAAACAACATCCCTTCAAAAACAAAATTAACCTTATAATCAAAGTGGGAAATATTATATTTCTAGGGTTTTCGAAACATGAATAATCATACTTTTCTCCAAGTAATTTCTGTTTATAATTAGTGATATTCTTACTACGTTGAAATTTTATAAATCACTGAACTGGAGTTCACTAATAACAATAGGCGCATTGATCGTAAATATAAGTTTCTTTATGTTTTATTCATTACAGTTTATCAAAAGCCAACTGCTGAACATAAGTCTCCCCCCCCCCTCCCTCAGATTGGTTCATAGGAATACTTATTTTGATATTTGCCATAGCTGCCGTGTTTGGCGAGCGTACTTTGAGTTGTTATTGGAAAGTTGCTACTAGCCATCTCCTGTTTTATTTTCTTTTGTTGCCTCTTATAACACCCGCGGGATGTTATGAGGTAGTAGTGGTGTGTTGTTCTTCATGTTTAGTCGCATAATATTACATTGTTCAGCTTTATCATAACCGAAGGGTTTTTAAGATTTAAATTCGAATAGCAATATCTTGCCGCGTATTAATAAAAAGTAAATTAGATACATATTGGTCCTATTATGGGCTAGCTTCATGTCCAGCTGTTGGTTGACTTACAACTCGTAAAGAAGTACTAAAAAGTAGTTTATTAAACTCGAAACATTAAAAATATTATTTTCTTTGTAACAGGAAATGCCAACACCGGACTTCAGTTTCGATTTGGAGTTAGGAGAACCTACAACAGAGCTGCTGGAACATGCTCGATTGCACTGCGGCGAAGATCCCAACACTCGCTTACAGGCTATATATGAACTGAGGGACATGATATATGGTAATTATAAATTACGTCAAACTCTTTTTTTGTGCCTAAACAAAACAAAACTTCGTGAACAGAAAACTTTCCCCCAATTGGTGCAAAACCATTTAAATTTTTACGGCTCACTAGCGCTGTACCTAAGCTTTGGTTACAGCGATGCAGGCCGTGATATTATAATGTTTGTATTATCTATGGCACCGTGGGTTTAATCAAGTAATTGTATGGCTTACAAATAATTGTTTCGGGTCCAGTTGTTTACTTTTGTGCAATATTTTGATGTGGTAGATCCATGCTGCAGCTATATTAGTAGTATAGTTGTAGCACGAATGGGTCGGCTCGACCGGGTAAGGATCACGCTCTCACAGAATACCAGCGTAAAATAGCAACTTAACGCTGCTGTATTTCGTATGGTAAGTGTAAAAAACCACTGAAACCGAAACATTCCATCTTAGTCCTTACGGGTGACGACGCATATGCATTTTTATTTGTAATCGAGGATAGATGTAGATGTCTATGGCTTATAGCAACCACTTACCATCAGGTGGACTGTATGCTTGGTTGTCATAATCTTTATATATAAAAATTACGTGTCACGTTGTTTGCCCGCAATGGACTCCCAAACTATTGAACTGATTTCAATGAAATTTTGCACACTGTGTGCATTTTGGTCCAACTTGAAATATAGGATAGTTTTTATCCCGACCCTCAAAATTTTTTTTGCGAATTTAAGTATTTTTTAATAGGACAGAGGGTCGTCGGTATGGGCAGAACAACGTCTGCCTGGCGAGCTAGTTATTCTACAAAAAATATATAATTATAAAACATCTCCACGATATAGAAAACATCCTAGGATAACACCTCGATGTTTTTGTTTGAGGCTTTATTGTGAGCAAGTAAGTATTATTTGCTTGAGGTTTCACTCTTCTACAAATTTATTTACTTTTTTTTGCAGTAGGGTTTCATTAATCAGCATTTCTTGTTTCTGAGTCAGAGTACTCGTGCTGGAATTCATATGTTAAACTAAAATTATATTTATACTAATTCTTTTATCTTCATTTGAACATGTTAAGTGCATTTCACCAAAAATATAGGTAATTAGTAATTAGAGTAATTATTGACATAAAAAAACCAATACACTCTATCGTCTCTGCCTATTATAATCTTATCTATTTGTATATATGTTACATTTTCACCAAAAAAGATACATATTGATGAGAAAATCAGTAATAGATATAGGTTTTAAAAAATATTGCTTCATAATCAATAATAACAACATAAAGCAGAAATGGCATAGCGTGTACATATTAGTTAGCCACGCTATTGTAGTTAAATACAGTTGATATGTAACTGACAAAATATAGTGCTTTACTACAACAAAATTATTATAAAATAATTTTATTTTTTATTATCAATCCTTAAGATCAATTTATTTGTAGTCTGGTTGAAAGAAGCCCCGAAATTATTTATTAACTATGTTCTTTTTTTAATCAGAAAATCAAATGCAATTTTCGTATTACTTGCTGCTTATCTAAGGTCAGACGAATGTTTTTCGGGCGTTGACAACGAGGCAAGGCCCGAAAACAGTAATGCATCTCTGATGCGTATCTTTATCTCATTAAAAGACATTTCTTCGTTGTGATTTAATTTCAGATCTTCAACTCGTTCTATCAAAAATAATTTTAAACAGTATTGATTTTTTTTTTCACTGTCATTTAAAACATTTCGCCATGAAGCGACAATTTTGAGGAATTAATTTTATTTGTTTTAGCATGATCTCTGGGTTTTGGGTGCCTTTTTGTTGAGGTAAATTTACAAAATAAAGAACCTAAATTAGTGCCTATTTACGAGTAGCATTTCACACAAATAATTTATAAAAGAGAGGCCGGAGTTAGGGTATAATATTCTAAGTAAAATCTAAAGTTGCGGACTAGCGGTAGTCAGGTAGCGGCATTTAAGGAGATCGGCCGTTTGTGTGCCATAAAATTATCTACATAAACTGCATGTTTCTACTATTGTACATTTTGGGTTTCCGTACCCAAACCTATTAATGTCACTCTGCTGTCTGTATGTTTGTCTGTCTGTTCTCTATTTATTGAAATCAGTTATAGAACTAAAATTTGGGCGTTTACCTGACTTCAAACAAGTGGTAAAATTAAAAATTTGTACAACCGACTTCAATATAAATTATTAAGAATAACTCAAAAACTTTTTGGTCAGACTTTGATCAAATTTATTTGAGACCACAAGAGAAGCACCAGCTTACAAATAAAAAAAAATCATGGAAATCGATTCTCTTAGAAAAGAGTTATGAGGTAACCACATAAAGTATTTTATTTAAGTATTTTTGAGTACCGTCTCCTTTTTGAAGTCGGTAGATAAAATGAGAACATCATCAATGTCGTCGAAGTTAATTAAATACGCATTATTAAGAATAACCAAAAAAAAACTACTGGTCAGATCTTGATCAAATTCATATGGGACCACATGAAATGCACGAGTTTTCAAATAAAAAAAGAGTCATTAAAATCGGTTCATTTAGAAAAAAGTTCAGAGGTAACACGCATAAAAAACATACAGTCGTAATGATTACCTCCTCCTTTTATTGAAGTTGGTTAAAAAGGAGGAGATCCAATATTGGCGTAAAATTCAATGAAATCGTACATGAAAAAGGAGCCGAAAAATATTTTTTATGCTCTAGCTGGTGAAGTGATATTGTCTAGAGTTCACTCAGTATATTATAAATATGCATTTTTTCTTGTCATTTAAAAAAGTTTAAGAAATGTAAGTGGTCAAACTTTCAAGATTGTTTTTTTTTGTTGCGAGATCTATCTGAAAAACCAAACTAGTTAGGAATTTGAATTTTTGTATATGACATACTGTTTTAAAAACAAATTCTGAACTTTTATAAAACTGAGATAATAAATTTACTACAGTTACAGTACAACAATAAAATCTACAAATAGGTACATAAAAATCTAAATGTTACTTCATCATCTGCTGAGCCGAAAACAATTAAATATTTTTTTGGAAGAAAAAAGGGTGAGTTCTTAGTCGATGTCAGAGACATGAATAAGTGTAGTAATAAGTGAATCTGAGGAACTAACATTACAATCACGACCTGGAGACAACAAGAATACTCTTTATTATCAATTTCAGCTTAATTTCCGACCAATGAGTGCAGATATACTGATTTATATTCACAACAGCTCTGACTTTTAGTATGCAAAAGGGTTGGAGGACTGTCTACTATAAGTGAGCTGAGTACTTATTATTCCTTTGAATATATTTGATTCAATTCTTTTTAGTACATTGAACTTAACGACTTTAACGAACCCTCTTACAATTTTCTTGTGAGCAGTTCAACAGCTCCTTAAATTACTTACAACGCGTCCCACAGCCATTGCGTTATCTGCTACTTGCAATGCCAAATTTCCGTCGGAGTTCCTTTCCATATTCAATTCTGTTCTGTACTGGTGCGATCAGTGTCTGATTTAGAATTCCGACAACTCTAGGCTAGCCATGAATATACGCATCCCCCCCGCCCCTCTCCAGGCTGTTCTGTATATGTCTGCCCAGCGCACGAGTATATTTACAAGTTTTATTACAAAAACAAACAAACTTTATCACAGCTTTATTATAAGTTTTGAAAATTTAAACGAGAATGGTCGCTAACCAACTTTAAATCGTTATCCATCCCTAAGTGGTCATTAATAATTTAAAATGACTTGAAAAACCTAAATATGATTTTCGAAGACCTAATCAATGGTAACCAAAATTAACAATAAACTAAATAATATGCAAGCACAAACAGTTCTAACCGGTCTTAATATACTTCACCAGAATATTCAGGGCATAAGGTCTGAACTCAACCAGATAGAAGTTCTATTAACTATGGAAAACATTGATATTATGTGTATTAGTGAGACTTTTTTAAAGAAACAAGTTGTTAATTTTCTACAAATTCCAGGCTATAAAGAAGCTAACTCATATTGTAGAAATGAGTCCAGAGGAGGGGTCTGTATTTATGTTAAAAAAAGTATGGATTTTAATATACTTCCCTGTATAAATCAATTAAGCTTAGATAAATACCTTGAATGTTGTGGTATACTGTTGCCAGAATTAAATTACATTATTGTTTGCTGTTACCGAACTCCAGGCTCAAGTTTTGAAATATTTATAAAAACATTGCATTTGTTATTACATAGAATTACAGTACGTTCAAGATATATGACTAAAAAAGTAATAATAGCCGGTGACTTTAATATTAATCAACTTGAAAATACTCCAAAATGTTTACTTTTTAAAAATACTGTATTAAAATATAACTTAAAACTAACAATAAATGAACCAACTAGGATAACAATAAAATCGAAAACTTGCATAGACAATATCATAACAAATATTAAAGGTTACAGCTCAAAAGTTTTACATTTAGGATTATTTGATCACTCTGCACAATACATAAATGTACCATGTAATCAAGGTTATATTGAAAAATATTGGTATGTACATAGGAGGAACGAAAATAAGTATTTAATTATCTTTCTAAAATATCTCTCTCAATTAAGTTTTTCTGAAGTTTTCTCGTATCGTGATGTCAATCAGGTCAATCAATAGTTTCATTAGCTTATTCAAATTAATATACGATCTTTGCATACCTGTAGAAAAGATTAGAATTTCTTTTAAGAAAAAGTCAAATTGGCAGACAGTTAGCATTAAAAGAGCATGCAAAACTAAAAGAAACTTATACCAAAAAATACTGAAATATAAGAAAAACGAATTAATACCGTATTATAAGAAATACTGCAAAATATTAAAATCTGTAACACGTTTACCAAAACAGAAATCAAATATAAAATTCATTAAAAATAGTAATAACAAAAATAAAGCTACATGGTACTTAATAAAAAAGCAGACCACTTCACAAAACATATTCAAAACAACTATTAAAAATGTGACCATTGATAATACTAATATCACGGATGCAGGTGCTATAGCAGAAGTTTTTAACACTC